TATATTCATATATTATATTAAATTAGGTTTATAGTATAATTTTATTTAAATTAAATAGACATCTTTCTTATTTAGTATAATAAAGTTTTAGAATCAATTACTGTTAAATCACAAACAATACCAAAAATAGTTTAAAAATTACATTACGTTATGTATTTTATATATTATACASGATATATCAGCTCTATTTGACTAGTACTATAACTTTTTCTATTTAACGTTTTAAGTTTTTTTTTTGTTGTTATGAATTTTAGAGCTCTGTGCTATGATCATAATTATTTTATATTTTTATAGTTTTGGACTKTTGGCACTTAATCTTTTGAGGAGTAAAAAAAAAAGATTTCAATTTGAATGATGTCAAAGAAGTAATCGAAAAACAAACATATCCAAACCTTTATAAATTGTTACAAGTAGCTTTATCTATTCCTATAAGTTCAGCCACTTGTGAAAGGTCATTTTCTTCAATGAGACAAATAAAAAATTGGCTAAGATTCTCGATAGCACAAGATTGCTTTACATTTTTATCTATTTTGAATATAAAAAGAGATATACCTAACAAAGTAAACTTGGATRATACCGTTAAGAAATTTGCAGAAAAGGACAGAAAAATAATGTTAATTTAACTAGGCTTTGTAATAAACWTTTAATAGGTAGAACAGTTTATTTCATCAATTATATATTTATATCCTTTTTATTCAAATTAATTTAGGTAGCTAGTCTGTAAGTGAAAAAATTCTTCTTWGAAAGAAATTAGGACTTCTGAGCTTATAAATATAAATATGTTAGTGTTGATAATCAATAGACAATAAGGTTGGTGTGGGGGCAAAGCCCCCATGGGTCACTGGTATCATTAAAATGTAACCCACCCAGAAATAGAGGTCTAGTTGCGCCTATGTAGTACCACCATTAGTCAAAATAGACATGTTTACCTGTATATCACATACATTGTACTAATTTTAGCATTATTAAAGTAATTTATATCTTTTATTTGTTCAAATGGTTTATAAAAATAATGTTTTATTTGTTTAGTATGACTGCATTTGGGAATTATCCCTCAGAAATGGAATTTTCTTCAAGCATAGATGACATGTCACAGGCAGATGGATCATTTTTTTAGTTATTTTTTAATAGGGGTAATATGCTTTCTTATAGTATAGTTTTTTGTGACTATTGTTATTCAATATCATAATAATACTTAAACTGTATCTGCAATATTACAACTTCATCATATTTTTTTGTTATTATTTTTTCTATACACAATATTTTAAATGTTGACATACATATCATACTCAACAGTTATGTAAATTTAATTTAATCTTAGAACTTGTGTAGCTGGAATACCTACTTTGAGCTGTATTTCTATTATTTATCTCCATGAGCTTATTATACATTATTATTTTATTATAGATTAATTATAGTTGTAAATATTTAAAAGAAAAATTATAATAACTTTTAAGATCAAGTTTAGATGGCTTGGTTTCCTGTTATTACTTACTATTATTGTAACTAGTACTTTGTATATTTACAATTTTTAAATATTATTTCATCAATATAGTTAAATGTATTTATATTATATTTATTTATTACCCAAGTTGTTATTTATGAATACGCAATTTTAAAATCAAAATGTATAAGATATTTTGAAGAAGAAAAAATCAATAAAACATCATAAATCCCTATGTTGGACAGGTTAAAGCTGTCTCACGTATGCGACCGTTATGCAGATAAAAATAACTGCTTTTATGAACAATACTTTTGTAACAACAGTTTATATTCTTATGTTCAGTCTTCATATGTGTAACAAACCAAATTTGTAATCAAAATGTTTTTAATTTAATTATAACCTTAATACCTTATAATTTTTTTCTAAATCTTGTTTTTTATTAAGAAAAGTCCGGTTTCCTGTATTGAATCCCTYTAAATCAGTTGTTATAAAATTATCTTAACTAAGTCCATTAAGGTCCTTTACCAGTCACCACATATAATGATAATGATCAAATGTTGTATACTCGAAAGCACAGATTAAGACATCTATATCTGTGCTCAAAAGTAAATCACGATAGTAAAGAAAACTGAAAAGTTCTTTAAAATTTTAAAGTA